GGCCTCTGCCCCCTGGTGGACGGGCGGGGGGGCGGGGGGGGAAGGAGCCGGCGGCGCGGGGCGAGCACTTACAGCAAGTCTTGATGCCGGCTCTGCCGGGCGGCCTTAATCCTGGGCGCGGGAGAGATGTCTGCCCCCACCCCTGCGCCCGGGCTCCTGGGCTCCCGTCACAAAGTAAGTCCCCCTGGTTCCCCGGCCGCTCTGTGCCTCTCTGCTCGCCTGCGCCACATGGAGAGGGAGCAGGAGGCCGATCCCCGCCGACTGACTCCTATTCACTGCGGCCATTCACTTTATGGAAGGCAGCCGGCGCCCCCAGCCAGCTGCTCCCCGGCTCCGCACACTCAGCCCGCCCTCTGCCCAGCTGCGCTTCCCAGGGCTGGCCCCACCCCGCTCCAGCTGTGAGCCCCTCGGCGCCGCCCCGCCGGCACAGGGCCCGCTCTTCGCCCGGCCGATTTGCATCCCGAGGCCCTCCCCATGCACTTGCCTGTTAGGGTGGTCAAACCCCTGCCCCTCTCCTTTTCTCTCCGCCTATTACAGCTGCTCAAGCTTCAGCTCTCGGAGGCGTTCGGGGCGGTGTTAGGCCGCCCAGAGCTGGGCTGGTGCCCGCCTCCAGCCAGGCAGCTTAGCACATGGGAAGCCGCACCTCTCCCCCACTCTGCTTCCTCCTACCAGCCGGTGCCCCAGTGCAGATGGTACCTTTCCATTCCACCCCCAGGGCCTTAGCAGTGATAAGGCCCTGTTGGTCAGCTGGTTAGCAGGCCCCTCTGCTAAACAAGCCATTCTCCTTCTTGGGCCTTTGGGGTACTCTGATGATTCAGCAGGTGAGATACTGCAGTGTGTGCAGCTTTATGAATACCTTGGGAAGCCAGGACGGATTCCATGCTGCACAACCTAACACAAGTCTCACTTCAGTTGACAAGTGCCCTCATCATAGTGAGATCCCACTAGCATGGTGCCCTACCAATCTAGTTTCTAGATTATCATTTACACTTTGATCTTTGCCTCTGCCTTTGTCTCTCTCCTTTCCCCCTTAGGCATTCACTTCAATGATAGTTTATAAAGAGCTTTGAGATCTAGTGACAGAGAGTTCATCTACCCTAGCACCTGTGTTGAGTATTTTTATTTCCATCTTTCAGACAGGGACACAAGGCATAGCTGCTGGGGAAAGCAAGTGACACAGTGAGCAATCTGTTGGTTGTACAGGTGGCATGTTTTTGATTGCCAAACTGGAGGTTAATAGTACAATAATACTGTACTTCTGTTAATACATGTCACCTTTCCAAGGCTAGAGCCAGTTATTCCAGTATATAGGATATAGTCTAGTTTAGTCATGTACATCTGCCAACCTAATACCCTCTGTTGCTTTAGGAACAAATTCTTCTCCCACTAAACTCCGTGGTCAAGCTTCCATTCACTTTAGTGTTGCACAATCAGACCCTTACTCGAGTGTGGTACTGTATTGCTCTCCATTTCCTGTCCAGAAGTGCACTGTTAGGCCCCAATCCTGCAAATGTTTACATATCAGTGTGTAACTTTTGTCATAGCAGTAGTCCCACTAACTCAAATGCATAGAATCAAGCATGTGGGTAAGTGGTACAGAGTAGTGTTTTTGTTATGTTCCAGTCTGGAGTGTATTGCCTGGTAGGGTTTATCACTGGAAGGTGTCTGTGGGCCTAGATGGGTCAAATACTTATTTTTCCATTCAGATTTCCTTGAGGTCACTTCTATGTCAACCTTTCCTGAGATTTATGATGGCAAAGGTCACCCTCAAGCTCTCTCACTGATATGTTTTAGAGATTAGGAAGTAGTATTGTGAGAATAGGAATGAATTTAACATTGTGTGATTTATGAGTTGTATTTAGAGAGTCTGTTAAATGTATAATGTGACATATGGATATGTATTGGAATATGAATATGCCAAGAGCAGGTGTGCTAAAAGGACTTAGATTTTAGGGGTTAAATTCAATACCATGCAGAAACAGGTGTATCCCACACATGATAGTGGGCAACCCAGGAAATTATCATCAAATTGACTTTATCTTTGGAAGCATGTGTTGTTAATGTAAACCTGAGCCCTCGGTTCAATTTTTTGCCCTTTGCAGAATTCAAAACAAGAACCAATAGGAATAGCAATACACTGAATCACTCTTTTTCTTCTCAAACACCAACTTATCTTTACATATACCAGCCCCAGTTTTGAGAAGAACAGTAGCACTGCCACTGTATCTGTGATACTTTGTTACTATATCTCATGGGAAAACTCAATTTCATACATAAGGTTTGAGGTAACAGAGGGAAATTCATAGGTAAGAGACACCTTTGGTGTGCCCACATTTGGGATAATTAATGAACTATACATCTTCTCCCTTGGGGGAGGTATTCTGCTTGGTGCATGGAGATGAGCTAGACTGGGGACTCATACATAGACATAGATTTCATAGACATTAGGGCTGGAAGGGACCTCGTGAGATCATCAGCTCCAGCCCCCTGCCCAAGGGACAGGAAGTCAGCTGGGCTCAAATCACTCCAGGAAGATAAGCCTCCAAACATTTCTTAAAGGTATGAAAAGTAAGTGCTTGCACCACTTCTGCACTTTTTAAAATGTGTGGACCACACTGGCACTGGAGATAGTAGAAAAAAGGAACTGTCCACAGGACAACCAGTCACTTCCTTTTTTGTAATGGAATTGTGCCCCTGCAGAAAACACAGTAACAAATGAAAAAAAACCCCAAAAACTAAAGGAACAATGGTATTTTGGCTATTTAAATTTAGTAGCTAGAACTAGGAACCAGCATCACAGCTTGATAGACCACTGGTAAGTGCTTTGTAGACCATCATTTTGAGAACCGTTGGATGAGATGATCCTCAGACCTGAATTGGTCCAAACTCTAAGTAACTGCAGGACTGGGTCTGGTAGGAGTTTCTCTGGAATGTTTCATGGTGTGTCCTTTGCCACTGATTTGAAAATACCTTGTAGCAGTTTCAGACTGGCTCCAAACAAGCCACTTTAACAGAAGAGCTTTCTATCTTGGTGAAGAGTTCCATTGTACCAGAAACCATCATCTTCATCCCATAGTTGTAGTTCGTCTTTTAGATATCCTGGGCCCAAGACCCGGAGCGCCTGCAACCTTGCATGTGATTCAGTATTGTATGGAAAGCCAGAGCAGGGAATGGACAACAGGTGTGAGGCACCTGCAGTAGGCTGTGTCGCTGAGGAGGCCTGCTGCAGCATTTTGTAGTGGTTACTTATGCCCCATGGGCTTTATGCCCATGTATGTCACACTGCCATATTCCAGTCAAGAGAAGATAGAAACATAAATAACTGAGGCAGCTTATCATCTACTAGGTTGGGATGGTGTCTTCTAGTCATCCAAAGATGATAGCAAGCATAATCTGTAGATGTTGCTTTGTGAGACTTTATTGACATCAAGGAATCTCAGAGCTCTCCTAATATATGGACTGAACTGATCATCTATAGATGTGCAACTTCAAACAAAGGAGACAGTGAGATGTTTGGCAATTTGACAGACTACTTTATTTTGCCTACCAGCATCACCTATGCCTGGCTGAGGTTCAGGTTCAACTAGTTGATCAGCACTGGGGAGCTGATTTCATCTAAGCACTGAGTCAACTTGGTGGCAATCATATACAGGGAAGGAAGGGTACGTAGAGCTGATGTTGTCTGCATCAGCTGGCACTTGAATCCACATTATTTGGTCAGTTCACCTAGAGCAGGGATCAACAGCATTTTTGTGCAGTGCCAAAAACACCCACAACTTCAACTTGTAAGATGTTGGTGTGCCAGGGGTGGATGATGGGGGAGCCATGAGGGGCCCGATCCTTGCTGTTGCTGTGTAGCCCTGGACCCTTCCCCGATATCCACCCAAAGGCATGTGTACCGAGCAAAATGCGTTTGAGTGCCACACTCTGGCACCCATGCTGGGGGTTGCCTACCCTTGACCTAGAGGCTGCATGTGGATGTTAGAAAGGACACAAGACAATCTTCATGTGACTCTGTGAGGTGTCCTGTATTTGAAGGCAGAGTTTCCTATCATTACTCATCTGGTGCATTCTGCTACAAAGAAATCAAACCATTTTTATACATTCTTTGTGATTTTTTATATCTCTTTCAGGTGAGAAAGCACCATCTCCTGGATTACAGTATCACATGCTGAAGGGAAGTCCAGGAACGTGATAATGAATGATTGCTTTTTTTTCTATTGACAGGTGATCATTCATCAAAAAGCAATTGCCATTTCATGTCCTGGCCTTCATGTAGATTGTACCAGGTGTACAGTATCAGATTTCCTTAAACTAGCTTGTAACTGCCATTTGTTCTCTGTGAAAAAATTAGGCAACTGGTGTCGATGCCTACACAGTCAGATGGGTCACAAATTGGCTGGAGGGCCGCATCCAGAGAGTGGTGGTGGATGGGTCATTTTCGACCTGGAGGGATGTGGGCAGTGGGGTTCCCCAGGGCTCGGTCGTTGGGCCTGCACTGTTCAACATCTTCATCAGCGACTTGGACAAGGGGGTGAAAAGCACCTTGTTCAAGTTTGCGGATGACACTAAGATATAGAGAGAAGTGGACACGTTAGAAGGGAGGGACAGGTTACAACTAGACCTGGACTGGTTACAAGGGTGGGTGGATGAGAATAGGATGGGTTTTAATACAGACAAGTGCAAGGTACTGCACCTGGGGAGGAAGAACCAGCAGCATACCTACAGGCTGGGGAACTCCCTTCTCGTCAGCACAGAGGCAAAAAAGGATCTTGGAGTCATTATTGATTCCAAAATGAACATGGGCCGCCAATGTGGGGATGCGGTCAGGAAGGCTAACTGCACCTTGTCATGCATCCACAGATGCATCACAAGCAGGTCCAAGGAGGTGATCCTTCCCCTCTATGCGATATTGGTCAGGCCGCAGTTGGAGTACTGTGTCCAATTCTGGGCGCTGCACTTCAGGAGGGATGTGGACAGCATCAAGAGGGTCCAAAGGAGGGCCACTCGCATGGTCAGGGGGCAGCAGGGCAGACACTACAAGGAGAGGCTAAGGGACCTGAACCTGTTCAGCCTCCACAAGAGAAGGCTGAGAGGGGATCTGGTGGCTGCCTATAAACTTACCAAGGGGGACCAGCGGGGAATGGGAGAGTCCCTGTTCTCCCGAGCAGGGAGTAACTAGGAATAACAGCCATAAGTTGACTGACAGTAGGTTCAGGCTGGACATCAGGAAGCACTACTTTGCAGTCAGGGCAGCTAGGATCTGGACCCAACTTCCAAGGGAAGTGGTGCTTGCTCCTACCCTGGGGGTCTTTAAAATGAGGCTTGATAATCACCTAGCTGGGGTCGTTTGACCCCAGCATTCTTTCCTACTCATGACAGAGGGTCGGAGTT